TGTCTAAACACAGCTTTTTTCGGTTAAAAAAAGAAAGCAAAAGGTACAATCAAAGCTGTACTTTTTTGGTAACCAATTGTCACTTTTTCCTCATTTGGTTGTTAAAGCATTTAACAATTTTTTCGCATCATCCTTATATACATTTTCTATTAATATATAAAATGTTATAATAAAAAGTGAATCATAAAAATTATTATGATACAAATCTGTGATATTTAATTCCATTAATTGAATCACAATCAAATTTCGAATTGAAAATGCCTCTCTTTCCACCTCCTTTACGACTAGACAATGAAGATCAGAAGCAAAACTTCAGTCAAGTCATTGATTTGACCATGCTTCTACATTAGTCATTAGCCATCATATATATGTGATAAATAAATAAATAATAATAATAATAATAATAATAATAATAATAATAATAATATTTTCAATATAATTTCATTAAATAAACTTCAGGGATAAAAGAGTATACATAGATCTTAATTCTATCTTGTAGAATTAGAAAGACTACACAAAATATTCTCAATTTAATTAACTCATAAAATTATACGTTATAGATAGCAAATAATAACGAAATCAGATTGTGTCACGTAATTGTAGGAACTCGGTATTTTAATTGGCAGACTTTGTCGAATATTAATAAAGTTGGTCAAGTCAAACACACTTCCAATTTGAAACCAAATGGAGGTTAGAGTAAGTTGAATTTTTCATATTGATCTTCAACTTAATAGTGCCCCTTAGCAGCCTCTCTATTTTCTGTGTTTTTGCACATTTTTCCAACGTTTATTAATATTATTGTATAATGTATAGAGTATTCGTAGTAGTTATTCACTTGCTTTCTACTATTGAAGTCTTCCCATGAGCTCGTATGCTATACATTAGCCTCACTGGCATATTATATTTACTTCGCTCCACAAATTAGTTGACAAAAAGAAAAAAAAAATGACTCCTTCCATCTTAAATAATACATGTCATATTTCATTTTTCTTCTGTCAAAATAGACCATCTAAGTTAATATTTTGAGATATTAATTCTCTTGATACGAGAAAAATTATACTTTTTGTAGTAATATTTATGTGTTAGTCACTGAATTTTCATTAAACTAACAAATTAATAGAATGCTATTAAACTTTGATAATTAATCATCGTGCAATTATTCGTCGATCAAGGAAAAATATCAAATATTTCAGGAGGAGGAATAATCAATTATTCACGAATATCCAATGAAATAAAATCATCTATCATGATCCTCAAACAATTGCGATAGATGTGTTAAATGAACGGATTGGACTAAATGACTTAAGTTAATAAATGGATGGGTATCTAATAATATTTCCCGTCATTATATCATGATTATTTATATAACATATGAAATAATAAAAATTATTTTTCAAAAATATTTAGACAAAGTTTCTCATGGGTAATTTAGGTTACGTATCAACATATTTTTAAAATCGGCTAAGTTAATTGGATCAAAATGAACTAAATTTTAATAAAATAACTGGATTATTAAGCATTACAAATCTAAACGAATTGGACATATTGTTATTTTATGGGCTGATTTTACAACACCTAATTGAATTGAATTTTCAGTACCGAAAATGATAATATTTAGACAAAATAGTACTATTTTAAGAAGTCAGCATTGTGGTTTCAGTGTTTCCCTAAATATTTTAATTTCTTGGTGATCACTGATCACTGAGAAAAAAAACTAGAAACTTTATTAATGGACAGAAAATAGAGTTGAAAAAAACTCCAACTACCAGCCTAACACCAATTAACCAGTGGCATGCATGATACTACTCCATCCGTCAATTTTAATTTGTCCAGTATTTACTCGACACGGTTTTAAGAAAGTAATAAAAAAAGTGATAATTTCAAAATAACAAAATTTAATAATTTGTGAAAAGTTAGTTAATAATAAAATTAAATTAGAAACTGATTAATAATTTTTTTTATATTTTTAAATTGAATAAGTAATAATTTTTAGTATAGTGAAGAAGTAAAAGCAACCTAAATTTATAGTAATTTTAGTATAGTAATTTTTCATATTAATTTTTAGTTTCATTGATTAAGGAAAATAATTGGATTTATTTGTAGAATGGGTGGGTCTTATAATGCAACTTTTGGCAAGTAACCTAACTCATTAGGCTTTCTAAATTTAGCTGATTCACCAAATTCATTTTTGGAAAATATTTTTTACAACGAAAACAAATCGTATTTGGATTTAAGACAAAATTCTGATTTATCTAGCAAGAAAGTAGAGCATTAATTTGGTTTCGAATTTAATTATTATAGAGCTAGTTTTTAGAGACATTTTAAGAAGTAACAGAATTTTTTTTCTAATGCAAAATAAGAGAGTGTATAATAAATAGTTCCTTGTGGTTGAACCCTTCTTCGGATCATATGCATAACAGAGCTTTAATGCATCGGACTGCCTTTTTTTTCTTCTAATTTATCTAGCAAGAAGTAGTCTATAAGCTCCAATAACATGTTTCAGGAATTAATACAGCCATATAAACTTTTTTCCAAAATTGTTGTTCAAATTAATGTTTTCTTTTAAAAATAATATTAATAATAATTAAACCAACAACCAATTTCAGATATATGACATTATTTTTCCTCTGTCTCCACAAATAGATTAATTTGGATTGAAACTACACAAATTCCAGGTCAACTAAAGGAAGCCTAACCATATGCTAATTAATAAATTAGTCCATACGTTCCTCAATGAACCCTATGTATAGTCTTATCAGAGCTGTTAATGCTTAACAAACAACTTTAATTAAATAGAAAATGAATTTAAGCTAAACACATAATACAGTATAAAGACAATGATAAAGGTAAGTGTATAAAGTTTAAACTTTCTCAAAAAATTAATATGATTAGGCACGATTGAAGTTGATATATCAAGAGGTGATGCTTTTAAAACAAGTGTAAATTTATTATTTAACTTACAATCCAATTTGAACACTTCTTCTTACTTGCTAAGTATGACACTTGGGTTAAGTGATAAATGCAAAGTTGCTAGAACAATATATATGTGCAATAAGACTATATACTATGTACTAAAGTGATTGTATATCACCTTGCTATGAGCTGTAAAAGCTACTAGAAGAAGCTATTACAAATATATATCCTTTATTCTGCAAATGTTTGGCGTCTGATAAGATCCACAAAAAATGTAATTCTGGAGTTAGTGTAGTAAAACACACTTCTAATTAATTAATTTGGTAAAATATATTTCTAATTAATAGAGTATATTTTAAGAGTTATGTCAGATTAACATGAGTCAACTAATATGAAATAGAGGAAATACATTATCCGAAGGGTATTTAGGAGATGACAAAAGATATTAAAACCTTGTAAAAATTGAGCAGGCTGAGTATGACTCATCAATAATTAACACATTTGGATCCAATTCAAGTAATGTTAATAAGTTAATGACCTTATAACTTATTAATTTAACATATTTTAACTCAGTAATTAATCCAATCAAATCCGCTCATGGACTGATTTTTCGACTTATACAAACTTGATCTATAAACAACTTTAATGTTGATCAAATATGTAAATAAGCAACAAATTAGATCCTCATAAATTAACTTAACTCGCGTATAAACTTAGTAAACCACCTCATAATCTTGAATATGGGTGCAAAAGAAACACTTAAAAGACATCATAATAATTAGTAGAAAGAAAGAAGGAATCACTCAATTTCCTGGTTACTAGGAAATAACATATTCTACACTACACCCTTGACACAATAATGTGTTATAGCCCAGTGATTTTAAGCGCCTTAAAAGAGCTAAGACTAGTTTAATTTTAAAATTTTCAGTATACTCATTTGTCCAAAAAAAAAAAAATACTCTTGCAATTTTTGAACATCATGTAATTTTTTCCTCTGCTAGTGTGGTTACGTTGTGAAACTTCAATAGAAACAAATGAAAGTAAATGGCAAGACATTATTAACGTTGGATCTCATCAGGAAAACACTTGTGTGTTTATGACATTCATCATATTAAATCATATCAACTATATATTTATTAGCTTAATATAAACATCTATCGATATTTAAATAAATAAATAGTGTCATGGCACAATTGTGCCTTATATGAGTGCATGCGTTAGCATGAATCCACCGCCAACAAATATATGCATATCTGTCGAGGCTGTAACCAAAAGACACCTTCTGAGATGACTTAATCTACAAGATGTACAGCCAAAGCAAGCATCACGAGTCTTACGTATCTGGCAAAACAAACACCCTACTCTACTAATTTGCTATACAATTCTTGTGAGTGACAGTAAGATTTAGAATATATTGACAACTCAAAACAACTAAACAGTTCCTTCACAATATATTATCCCATCATCATTCTTTACTTTAATATTCTATCATAGGGGTGACTTGTATAGTTTATACTCTTTCTAATAAAATAATAATTATGAGGATTCCAAGCCGCGTTATGTGGTGCTTGCTCAAGAACAAAACCTCATTTACAATGCACGTAGTCTACACGTTGCCTTGTTAATCACGCACACACATTTCATTTCACACTAGACAAACCATCCATCATCCTCTCGATAAAACTAATAATACGCACTGAATTCATATTTTTACCGATCCTATGTTCAAGTTTACCTACCTTGGTCAACTTTTTATTTTGTTGTCTGATGAAAACGTAGAACAAACTAATACATTTGTTTACTAATGATATTCGATTTATCATTTAAAAGTCTCGATTAATCCTGATTTGCATCATGATAAGTATAAGGATAGAGTTATGAAATGAACATGGAATTAAATAATAGCAACATGAAGAATTTCTTTTTATTGACAAATTTTTGTTCAGCGCCCAAATAACAACATTCTGCAGATCGTGCTATGGCATGTACCATTACACCCCTATCCACCGTCCTTTAAATTTCCACCTTACATATATATACTACTAATATTAAAATAGATTTAACTAAATAAAAAATAAATTCATGAGTAAATAAAAAAGAATATTATATTGAACAACAGAAACTAGTAGAAAATGAATAACCTACTTTTTGTCTCTATACAAAATGATAAAAGGTACTCTAGTACTTATAAATGTTTTACTTTTTCCTAAAAAGTATATAGTAAAATAATATCACATGTAAAACCAATTAACTAATTTGACTTAAACAGAATTCAATCATCAAATTACTATTAAGAATTTTCAATCGAAAAATAAACGCGGCTTCTTAGCAGGCATAGGACTTTCTACTTCTTGTTCAATCGGATGTTGACTTCTACCTCCACAGTCAATGGTCAGACCCAATTGCCATCCCGGAGAGGCAGGCATGTTTAGGTCAAAGTCACGCGCAATCGGAGTCGACGCGCCGCCGCCGCCGTCTGATGTAGTCACAACGCTTCCACTGTGAACGCCTTCTCCGCAACCGCCGCCGCTTATATAACGATTGTTACCACCGAGTTTACCTTCGTAGTGGCGGCGCTTGTGTCCACCCAAAGCCTGTCCAGTTGGAAAAGCCTTTTGACAAATAGAGCATACGTGAGAACGGCCACTCGGATTCAGAGCAGAGATATTACCGCCGCCACCGCTAGTGGAAGTAGACGTCGACGGATTGTTATCATCATCTCCGGTGGCAGGAACGTTAGTTTTACGGTGACTTGCTTTATGCCCACCAAGTGCTTGATAAGAAGTAAAAACTTTAGGACACTCGCTACACTTGAATAATTGCTCTGTTTTCTCTTTAATAAAAACCGGTTTCAACTCGGCCGGTTTTTTCTCCTGTTGTTGTTGTTCAATAACAACACCAATCGAACCGGTTCCTTTTCCTTTTCCAAATCCGGTACCGTCATCGTTAGCGAGCATGAGTAAACAGAGTGCTAAATACTGATCTCGAGTTGGTGGATTATCAATACGTGGTCGTTTCGATCGTTTTCCTTTAGCCCACGAATCCAAATTATGCGAATCATCAATCTCTTCCAGCGGTGGTAGCACTGCCGTGGGTGACTTCAAAGCTTCAATCGACATCGAGAATTATTATTATTATTAGAAATAAAAGTTTATAAAGAGAAACAGAGAGGGAAGAGAGAAAAGCTGATAGAAGAAAGTTGAGTGAAAGAGTGAAGAACTGAAAGAGAAGTGTGTGATATATATATAAGGGTTAGGGTTTGGAGAGTTGGAAGTTGCGTATGGAATGGCGGTGAACGAGTTGTAGAGGTTAATATAAGCGTTTTTAATTTCTAATTCAATTTGGTTAAGGAAGAAAATATTAAGAGGAATTGACACGTTTACACATGCGTTGTATCGGAGTCGGTCAAGTTAAGTGTAAGAAAACCCTCTTTAATATGGTAAAGGATTTAAGCGTATGACTCAGCTTTTTTAAATTTGACTTATTCTAAGGTCAAATTAAGAAAGAGTAGTGGATTATTATCACTACTCAAATTACTTGGCAATATGGACTTATTACGTGCGCAAGTGCGTAATCACCTAATTCCCAGTTAAACCCTCTTGATTTTTAATCTATACATATAAATTAATTAAACTGCGCATGCCAAATAAATAGTTATAATCAATTTGTTCAAAAGTTACTTGGATTTAGTTAAAATAGATAAAATTATGAATCCAAACACAAATCCAACTCTTTGAAAGTTTTATTTTAATTTATATAAATTTAATATTTGTTTATTATTATGATGGGCTTTTAGTTAACTCTTTTTTTTTAGATAAGCATGACTAAGTTATGGAAATTGACCATTTGTCACGTAGTTACTCTCTTGAAAACAAGACAAGTCCTATTTTTTAAAAGCTAAAGCAAAAGATGACTTTTTAGAAAATCAAAAAGTGGAATATTACAAAATAGTACTCCTAACAAAATAGTACTCCTACTCTTACTTTGTTCGTTAATTTTATATACTTTTTACGCAATTATAAACCCTTTCATTTTATAAAGGGAAAAAAAAAAAACTCTGATTCCTCACCATGACTGTGCTTAGATTCACTAGATTATTTTTCTACCGTTAAAATAAAAAATAAATAAATTAAGTGTAGGTAGAGGGCATGAGACTTTATGAAGTGGTGAGATACTTGGTTAGCTTTATGGTTGGGCATCCTTCTAGAAAGACACCTAAGTTGTAAAGTTTCTACAAAAATTTGACACGTGTTTTTATTGTTGATTAAATTAATATTATTACACAATTTTCTAGAATGTAATAGATCTCCTTTGATTGGTTAGAAAATGTACTTTTTGACATGGAGTATCTACTTTATCAACTCTAGTCTAGACTAGATAGGAACAATTGTGATGTAGAAAAAACTACTCCCTTCATCTCTAATTATTTGTCTATTTTTGAAGTGATACACTTATTAAAAAAATAATAATTGATGTAATGATATTACCATTTTATTCCTACTAACTATAAAGTGGATGAATTAAAAACTTAAGATTTTTAAAAAGTTTATATTTTTCAAAGTAATAAATTGAGGATATAATAGAAAAAAAATATTTGTCATTTATTGATTTATCAAAATAAACAAGTAATTAAGAACAATTAAAAAAAAAAGTAGACAAGTAATTAGAGATAGAGGGAATAGATATTTATCTCTACATTTATTTTTCTTACTATATATACTTGTCAATTGCTAAAGCCGTTTTCCTGTTTTTTTCTTCTTTAAGATATTTTATTTTAACTTGTGGATAAGTGAGAAGGAAATTTTTACTTCCAAACACACATTAATGGTCATATTTAACATTCAAACACGTAGCTAATAAAAGCATAGCGTAGCAAATTTTTGTTTTTGAATATAACCCGCGGTAATTATAAGCTCTGTCACAATTTTTGTCCGTTGGGTGAATATTTTATGTGCGTTGGATGAAATTTCTCTGTGTTACAACCTGCTCAGGAGATGTGAATTGTAATAGGTAAGTCTTATGCAACAGACTCGATTAAGAAAACAACGAGGGAGGGAGGTCGATCACATTTTATCTGTGTGATTGATCACCCTCCAAACCAACTGAATCATCGCAAAAAACAATAACCCTTTTATTGTGACCATAAAATTTAAAAATTAATTATTTGATTATTGTGTAATTTATAGTCTTTATCTTTCCAAAGATTTCAAGCTCATAACTTTTATTTATAAAACTTGTATAATCCACGTTTGAATAATTGATAAAAAAAAAATAAAGTAGTTTACTCATGGTAAAATATATCAATTCTTCTCTCAAACTCAAAATAGGTCATGTAATATTATATCTTACTTTGATCCTTACACATATAACTTAATTTTATGCGGATTGCTTCTTTTCGGGATAAATGATCCATTTTTGTAATTGTTGCAATCACATTTTACATTAACTAATCGTAAAATCATAAGTTTTTAATTATTGTTTTAATGGCATATTTATCAAAGTTATTACGTCATGCTGACGTCAAAGATGTTTTAAAATAGTTTCTTCTCCCTTGGCAACAATTGACAAATTTTAGAAAAATAAAAAATAAAAATGAAGTGAAGTGAAAAGAGGAGTGTGAAGAGGAAGAGGACAAGAAACACGGCACGCAACGTGTATTATGTTGTGTGCGATGGATTTTGCAACACGTGTACACAAACATTTCTTCAAGGGGAGATGAATGAAGCAACGACACGTGGCGATATATTTAGGCAGCTTCCTCAATATTTGGAACAAGAGCCGTCCAAGCACCATACAAACTTTGACAAAATTAACAACACACCAAATTAACTCAATTAGTTTTCTATTTATTTATAAGTGACCAAATTTTGTTAATTCCTTCTAAAGTATACAAGATATGATATATTAGTTTTTTTTAATGATCTCAATTTTGAGTCTCGAATATGAAAAAGTTTTACTCATAAATCTAAATCATTTGACTTTAATGGGATATTCGATATCGGTATTCTCTCGATGAACGAGAAAAAAGAAAACGAAATATATATTCTTAAAATTTATTATAGGATATGTAATTGCTTATTTAATTTTATCACTTAAATAAGTTTTAGCTTCGAATTTATAGAGATTATTTATCTCGATATTTAAATCAAATTAAGCGACTAAATTATATATGCGATAATACGAATCATATGTTTAAATGAACATAATATTACTCATCAACTTTAATCAAGTAAAATAAATGTAGACTCATATTAATTAATTGCATTCATAGTTTTTTTTATAAATAATAAACTTAAAAATATTTGGATTGGAAAAAAGGAGAAACGAGAGAGAATTATAAGATAGTGTTGAATCAAACTCTAACGCAATCAACAAAGTAAAAGGTTATATAATAAGTTGTATTATTTAAAAAAATATTTTATTAACAATGCATATATTTTTGAGTTCTGGCAACTGAGCACTAACATAATTGGTGGGCGATATCTACGTTTAATGCGTTCCTATAAATGTATTTGGAATTTAGTACAAAAATGCTACTACTTTTTTTACAAATAAAAAGTGTATTATAATTATCAAATTCCAATCTTGGTTACGTTTGGACAAAAGTCTCTTCCGAACAAACTTTTTGCCGATTCTTAAAAAAAAGAAAATATGGATCACAACACGTGGCCAATTCTAATAAGTCATTTGGTTGGGAACAAGTTATCCCAAGATTAATTATTTTGGAATAACTTATCCCACCATGTATGTTAACTTATTCCATCACTATGGTATAAATAGTGGGATATGTTACCTCAAACATGACAACCAAACAAGACACTAAATTCTTTTTCCAGGACTATTTTTTTTATCGCATGACTATTTATTCTTATCCCTCACACCATCATAAGTAATTAATTTATGTCATCAACATGGATTGTGACAGAATGGTGAGAGTGGAACTGCTCGAGTTCAAATTTTTAATATAGGAAAAATTTTGTTAGAGCTAATGAACCCTGCAATGAGTGATTCGAATTTAGTTAGAGATTCAATACGGGCTCTGAACATCATAAAAAAATAATTTATGTCTCCAAACATATCAGAAATCTTGTTTGACTATACATAAATCATGTAACTTAATTTTAAGTCTTATAGATGTATTTCCAAATCCCAAATAACTCCTTTTTTACTTTGTTTTAATAATAGTAACATCTTTTTAAGGTTTTGAGTTTGAGTTGCATTGAGTCATTGTTATTACACAATACTTTACCCCTTTGTATATGATTTTTTTTAGCTTAAATTTAAATTTAGTCAAACCTTGATCTAAATATCAAATATTAAATAAATTTCTATAAATAAATGTCTATTAAAATAAAAGCTAACAAAATTAATATTTTCTATACAAAATATTAGACATTTTTTTTAATATATAGTTAGATAACGAGTACAATCATTTTAGCGAACTGACCAAATATACAACTTGCACTCTAAAATATGATTTGGTTATATCGATCTGTATATTGTTTGGAGCAAACGCAAATTACTTGGCAAAAGCTATGTATTGCAAACTGTCACCAATTCATTCTTTTCCACTTTACACCAGTTTTATATATCATTTGTTCTGTGCCAATTATCATCAATGCCCAAATATTTTGTATCCTCCCCAAATTGTACTAAGTACATAATTCTTCTAATTTTCAATTTAATTTTTTAGATGAAATGGACATATAATTAAACATAAACATATTGAAATCTGAGTTTTATTGCCACTATTATCGAAAGAGTTTTCAACGTATTTCACACATAAAAAAAAGAATGAAGCAACATATAAAAAAATGTGTTAATAATAATTAAATAAGAATAAATTCTCTATAGTGATTTAAAATTAGTCACACATTTACACGACATCAACTGGTTGACACTTCTCTTTATTATTGAAGTTCAATGTATGTTGTATTGACGATAATATATGATGATTTGTTATTTGTGTAAATTAAACGAGGGCCTAACCAAATATCAAATGAAAGTGACTTTTTGTTCTTTTCACCTCAATCCATTTAGGAAGAGTATATAATACTCTGGCATATACTCTTTCTGTTCTGTTTTATAAAATAATTTTCGTGAGTCGAGAGTCTATAAAAAAATAATTTTATTATTTTATGAATATAAGAATAAATTTGTGTTCGTTCATCCTTTTCGAATTCCACTTATATGTTATTGTTGTATATTATCC